ATATATATATATATATGGGTCATTCTTTTTTTCTATCGACAATCTAATACTACACACATCAAAAGTGTCTAGGGATCAAGTACGTTTAAGAGTATTGCTGCAATTAGGGTTAATTATATTAACTTTTTTGTATCGCTATTGATACTTTTTAGCGAGTTTTAACATTTAAATAAGGAATATTGTTTAAAATTCGATAATAAGAAGAAAATCGATTGTCAATGTGGTTTTGTATAAAAATGAGTTATAGCGTTTTGACAAAATCATTACAATATCTGCATCGGAACCGAAACAATTTACATTATTATGGAGAGACGACATCATTTAACCCGAGAAGTGATGATGCGAGCCGTCGGAATGTTGGAAGCTGGTTCCAGGCAACGTGCTGTGGCTTTCACTCTTAACACTACACAGAGCGTCATAAGTCGCCTCTGGACGCGCTATCGCATGACGGGCAGCGTGGCCGAGCGACATGGAGGACGATCTCCATCACGACTCGCAGACAGGATCGGTATATCCAAAATACTGCTCGACGGAATCGTACCATGACCGCCATGATGTTGGTTACGAGGCTCCACAGCTCCTCAGGCTTGCTAATAAGCGATCAAACAATCCGAAATCGTTTACGTGAAGTGAGTCTGCGATCCCGAAGGCCGCTCAGAGTTCCACCTATTGCACCCTGCAATCGCAGGACCCGTTTACGATGGGCTCGCGAACACAGAAACTGGGAGAAAGAAGACTGGCGCTATGTGTGCTTTTCGGATGAATCCCGCTTCGGTATGATACCGGATACAAGACGTACTCGAGTTTGGAGAACATCTGGACGTCATGAACGTTTGAGATATTGTCAGGAAGTTCATCCATATGGTGGGGGAACAATAATGATATGGGCCGGTATTTGGATCGGCGGAAGAACCGGTCTCATTTGGATCAGGGGTAACCTCAATGCTCAAGTTTACGCAGAGAGGATTGTTTCAGATGTTATCATCCCTTTGCGAGGCCAGTTGGGTGATTCATTTCAACTAATGCATGACAACGCACGTCCACACACGGCTAGAGTCGTAACACGCATTCTTGCCGAAGCTCGTATCAACGTTCTGCCGTGGCCTGCTCAATCGCCAGACCTCAATCCAATTGAGCACGCGTGGGATATGCTTCAAAGAAGAGCTGTGCCGAGTATGCGTACCGTACATACTCTACAACAATATTTTGACTTGTTACAAAACACATGGGCGGCCATTCCTCAAAGTGATTTTGATGAACTCATCTTAAGCATGCCAAATCGCTGTAATTGTGTGATTCGTGTTAATGGTGGAAATACAGATTATTAATTTTCTTATCTTTACAATAAAAATGAGCAAAATCATCATTTTCGCCATTTTTTTGTCATTTAATTGACGCCGTTAATTTGAGTTTTTTCCCACAATTTGCAAAAACATCAATTTTAGTTTATTTTAATTACATATAGGGGTAAGCGGTTAAATAAAACATAAGCATTAAAGTAAGAAGTCGTCCTGGAAGACTGGATTTGGTAAATATTGCTTAAATAATTTTTATTTCAAAAATATTCACTTGATCCCTAGACACTTTTGATGTGTGTAATTAAAACTTTGTTTTTTAATAAAAAATCGACCACAAAAGTTTGTGGAATTATTTCTATTTGCTAAGTTTTTTTATTAGAATCAGTTAACGGAAAGTGAGTGAAATCCAATAAATCGGAGTCATCCCCTAAATTCTTCAAATTTGAGTGGTACCACTTCTGAGGTGCCGTTTCCACAAAAATAATCATTGAAATCTGTTCACAAATGTTGGAGTAATCGAAAAATAAAAAAATCTAATTGAGAACTTCCTCCTTTTTTTGAAGTTACTAAAAAGCCGGCGACGAGCGTATTGGTTTTTTGCACGATCGCGTATTTTACGACTGAAATAGCCACAAGCAGTAAAACGATACACAAACAAATTTTCGTGTGTATATTTTTCTTTTAATTTCAACTTTTCTAGACCAATACCTGTTTCTTTTTTCTTAATACATAATGCTATAGTTAACACCAGAAACGCTTTATCTATTATTCTTACTCATTGCACAAATCACGAATAATTAGTAAGTAGTAAAAGTATTAAGTATAGTAAGGTACGTACCACTGTACAAGGACATGACAGAGTGTAAGCTTTTGAATAATGTATGAATAAAGCACTAAACAAGTTTGTCAAACTTGTTTGATGATTTATTTCATCGTTTACGGGGTGCTTAAGGGTTCTTAGTTCGACCAGTTAGTAAGAATTAACTTTAGTGCTTTTCGTACTCTTAACTGTAAAAAGCACTAATCGGTAGAGTTGCAATGACATTCGTTTACTATTCGGTATCCGGCTTATTTGGCCTTTTTTTTGCTATTCGTTCGAGTACCGAATATTTGGCTGAATGAATATCGAATACCTAAAAACACAGTAAATTATGATGTAAATTGTATTATGCTGAATATACATTGTAAGTTCGCGAAAGCATAATTTTATGCTTCTTTATCTAATAGATCAAAGGAAATGTAGCTCTATTAAGTAATTTTTCTAAGAGATATAAAAAAAAGGTAACATCAAATGAAAATATCTACTTCATGTAGTTAACTCATGAATAAATAAGCGCTGATGAAATCAACCAAGAACATAGTAAGTTATGTTTACAAAACCAAAATAAAATTGAATAAACAATTTACTTTCTTCATTAAGATGTCATAAATTTATTTTTTATTCTTTTATTATTATTTATTATGTCATAAATTATAAACTCAAAAATTATAATACCTTTTTTGTTTAATTGCCCAAAATTATTTATCGTACATAACTGAAGTTAATAAGTGGTATTTTTCGTGCCAATTTTCGTACTTGCGTTAATCAGGCTGAATAGTTTGGCTAAATATTCGGAATTCGGCCAGAGACCGAATATACTATTTGTTGCAACACTACTTACTAATTAGACGATAATTTCAAAGATTGTAAAATTGTCTGTGCTGCGAATCGTACGGGACCTTTCAACGTGGCTTGTATTGATATGAAATTTGTCTATTGCAGGTTCCTTTAATCGCAGATGATATAGACATTTCTCCGTGGAAGAATCTGCTGTTAAAATTCGCTCAAGTGCACGTTTGTTTGGAGCATTTGTATCGCGCGGAAACTTGCTTGAGGCTTGACTTTTGTAAGTAGTCTGTGAAAATTCCCTTTGTGAGGTTTCCATTGTCAAACTAGGAAGCATTACAGTTTCTTTTATATGCTTATCCCCATACGGTTTATGAACAACGACATAGAGTGATTTTTTGTATAAACTAGCGTTTTTATAGATCTCATATAATTTTATTAAATGATGTTAAAACATAATTAAGCCGCACTATGTCACTGCATCAAAACTGAATACGACGTGCACTTGTCGTTTTTTTTTCTATTTTAATACGCGTTTCGAATGCGAACTATTGGAAACTGCGGTAGCGCACCGCCTTGTATCCTATTTGTAGCGGTGTTAATTTTTATTACTTTAATCGAAACCCAGTGTATGTGTGTCCGTTACCACCAGTTAGCAGTTTTTTAACCGACTTCAAAAAAGGAGGAAGTTCTCAATTCGACTGTATTTTTTTTTGTATGTGTTTTACGCATAGATTTAGTATATCCATAGATTGGCCCTGACGTATTGGAGACGAGACCAAAACAAAAATACATCTGTGTGCGTATAATGTGCATGTGTGCAAGATAAATAGTGTTGCGCCATCCACTGATTTAACTTAAATATCGATTAACATATTACACCGGCATTTCATTCGTTGTATTCACCAAAATGTCTTAACGCAAAATACCGAGACGTTAATTAACTAGTTAATTAATGGTTCAATAGAAAATTAAGAAAGCTACTATCACCTACTGGTAGTGCCATAGGATGGTAGGTAAACAATGGGGACTTTCACCCAAGATAACACTATGGCTCTACAAAATGGTGATAAGACCCATGATCAGTTACGGCGCGATAGTATGGACCACGAACCAAGCTTAACTATTATAATTATTGTATGATATGATAACATAGAAGTGCATCACAGCAGTGAATTTGCAGATAAGTAATAGAACCAAAAAACCGGCCAAGTGCGAGTTGAACTCGCGCGGAGAGGTTTCGGTACAAACTTAACATTGTAGTTGAAGAATATGTTCTCCAATAGATTCCAACAGCAAATATAGGTTTATTCGCACAATAGTGGGAAATTTAAAGATAATTTCTGTATTTTTTCAAAACTTTAGGCTCTGTAGTTTCGAAGATAAAGGGTAGAATGATCAATTTTTGTCTATTTTCTTAAACAACTTAAAAATATTTATATTTCAAAATTACAAAAAATATATATTCTTAAGAACTTTCCCTCCCAATAGTGACTTAAAAATTTAGAATTAATTTATTTACGTAGCACGTTTTGGTCACACAAATGCATATGTGTACCAAATTTGAAAAAATCAGCATCATATTTCGGAACAGAACAGAACTCTAACAAACAATAAATCGCTGATTTGTTGTTGATGAGAGTAGTGCTGCACAAAAATCAATTAATTGTAAGACATACCGCATGAATAATGTGGGTTTAGAACCAGAACGTAGCTTTACTCTTTGCTTGCCTCTAAAGGCATTTTATTTAAAAGCATTTTTCCTCAAAGTGTTTATTTGCCGCATATTTTTGAAAACTTTTTGGAAACCCCGTCTTCTCTCTTTGGCATTATAAGCCATTTCTGTCGTACTTCAATGATTTGAGGAAATCTGAATCAACAACAATAATTAACATAAAAAATGGGTGCCTCAACTATGCTATTAAAAGAAATTTTCGTTTTAATGTAAACAAAATATAATGTACTAATGCAATATTAATTAAATATAAAGTACTAAATCCAGAAATTTCTGATTCAATAAATAAAAAAAAATTAAGTATGAAGATGATTTCGGCAGTATGCAAGTCACGCCTTTGCCTTTCTTTTTTTCAGTTAATGACATCTCGATAACATATTATCGATTGCGTCAATCTCTATGAAAGTGGGGTTATGAATTTCAGAAATTCACGTATTTGATATATTTTTTAATTGAATTCGTATACATTTGGGTTATTAATGCACTTGAATGGTATAATTTTACGGATATATTTAAGTAAAAAACTTTTGTGGTAGTGCTTTTAGACAGCTAAAAATTTAAATAGTACTTACATGTGAAATGTACAATTCTGCGAGTTTTCCTTTTTAGATAAGTTACATCCAGACACTGAAAACTTTACAATGACTAATAAACGTCCGTTTAACACTATTTCACATTTTAAAACCAATTATTTTTCAAAAATAAACGAAATTTTGTTTCGTTGTCAGCTGACCCTAGGTTCATATAGCCTCATAGCTTATAATGAAGTGGTCTCGTCTACCCATCTCGTTCTAACATACGTGTATACTAACTCTCTTTCACTTGCATTGCCAATCTATGGGTACCTATATACTAATGGTTTTACGCGATAACCCCGGTTTATAATTTGTGAACCAATTTTGATGATTCTTTTTTTGTTGGAAAGAGGGTACCTTGGTAGAGGCCCCATTTAAATTTGAAGAAAATATTCCACCTTTAAGGGTGGCACACTAGGGGATGAATCCGGGGCACTTTCCGGTAACCGATTTGAATAAAACTTGGCAAATAGATGTAATTCCACGAACTTTTGAGGTCGGTTTTTTTATTATAAGGTAGGTGGCACTTTAGTAAAGTTGGGTTGTTTAATTAATATTTTTTCCTGCAGCAAGTCTAAAGCCAATAGCGTCCCAGCTACTGAACGTGTACGCGTCGAACAAGTCACCCGTGAAGAGCGTCGCCAATCTGATCAGATTGCCTGTACGGAAATTCTCCATGACCATTGCCAACAACGATGTTTTGTATCACTTAAAGTAAGAATTTCTTTACGTTTTAGTCTTATTCTATAAAGTCTATCCCTCATAAGCTTTTGAAAGAAGTACCAATAGATATATACTTTATACAGTGTGGTTTTATTATATAACTATAGGGATATGGAAGTATGACAACAAAGATTTTAGTTGGAATTAAAAAAATATATATAAAAATCCTCTTGCCATAGAAATCTGTCGCCACCATAATTTCTAACACAGAATATAGTACCTTATTGAAACAACCATCGAACAAACATAGAAAAATTCCTTCGACAAAACTGGACTCGAACCAGCGACTACACGGCTACCGCTCTGCCAATTGAGCTGCGGAGCGAGCCAGTAGATCTCAGGGAGCGTTCCCATTTTTTTGTAGAAAATGTCACTTATTTGGTTTTACCTTTGAACAGACGAATCATAGTAGTAAAACATTATGATATTCATTAAAATAAAACACAGACTACAGTGTGTTTGGAAAATGTGAACAAAAATGGAATAATCTTTTTCTTTCGAACTAAACTTAAACTAGACCTTTTTCTTACATACTGTTTGGTACACATTACAGGTTAATATTTTATTCATTCGATAAAAAGGAGTTACCACACTTATCGACGCGGTATCGGCTTGAGGCGATTATATTTTACTACACTTGCTGCATTAAGGCGATTCATACTGGACGCGGTTGTTTGGATGTCAACTTTGCCGTTCATTCGGCTATCGTCGCGGCTATTCGGACTTCGACACAGTCACTCAGGAGTTGACGCTGCTGTTTGGGCGTTGACACGGCTGCTCAGATGTATCCGAGTAACTGTATCGAGATGCGAAATTTGCTGACCGACTTTATGTTATTTGGTGTCAATAAGTGTGGTAACTCTCATATGACAGAGGTCCTTATGGGTACAGTCTACATCAGAAATCGTTGATCACTATTTTATTTCGGAGTCTATGAACAGTTATAGCCATAAATTACTTTTTCTTTTTTTTAAATTCTACTGTAAGTGTGCATTTCACCTCCATCTCACCTGGTGGAAAGTGACGTTGAGTTCGACGATGTGGCATGCGCACCTAAATAATGCCTATTCTCTCTCGCCTTTATTTTAACTTACTTTTACTACTAACTTTTACGAACTAGATATATTTAGATATATATTTAGGTATATCATTATGTAGGTAAGATTGCACTAAGAAGACCGAGTACGAGAGTGCTTAGAGATTTTAAATTGTTGTGAAGGTGTGTGTATGACACAGAAATCCAACTACCTGAAATTCTAAGAGAAGGAATTACCATTTTGCGAGCAAAACAATTGGGATTTAACCTAATAGCTTACACTTAAAATGTGTTTTTTTTTCAAACCGTGATACGCATTTCAGAAAACCGGCGCTCTGGTATCGCATAGAAATATGTCAAAATAAAAAAGCCCAGGAGGTGGACACTAATCGACATTCGAAACTGGTTTATGTGCTATCGCAACACCCCGTCTTCTCCCCTTCAGTATGGCAGAATCTGGGTAAGACCGTATGTATGTAGTGTGAATCGTGTATCAAAGATCATTAATAGACAGAGATCAAAATAGACAAGTGTACACTCAACTGCACACCGAGCTATACACTTTTGATTGAATATATTATCGCCTCCAGAGCAACGGAATAAGATCCGTCGATGTGTAGCTTGGTATGCTGCTGTCTGTACATTTACATAATCTTCACTCCAAGTAACACAAATAGAGTGGATACACAATCCCGGAATGACTACAAATAAAAGGCAAAAATATAACTTTTTTATAAAAAGAAAAACCGATGTCAAAAGTTCGTGGAATTATACCTATTTGACGAGTTTTACTGCAATCCGTTGCCAGAAAGTGCGTGAAACTGGACCCTAGTTTGACACCCTTAGAGGCGGAATAATTTTCTTTAAATTTAAATGGGCACCCTCGTATCAATAAAAAAAGAATCATCAAAATCGGTTCACAAATGCAGCCGGAGTTATCGCATAACATATGTTATGCGATAACTCCGTCATATATATGCAAAAAATACAGTCTAATTGAGACCCTACTCTTTTTTGAAGTCGGTTAAAAACAAAATATTATTATTATTGAAACACAAAACAAACACAAAGAACAACTCCTTCGATCCGACTGGACTCGAACCAGTATCTGTTGCCCCACCGTGGCTACCGCTATGACCAACTGAGCTAAGATCGAATTTCTCTAAGTACTTCTAAAGATAATGACCTAATGGCCTCCCCGTGAGCGTTGGCGATGTGACTGATGAGCAGGGCATTGCAAATCTTTTCAGACAGCATTTTACTGTTATGTCGCCTCTGGGGCTCTCTCGATTCGTGATCGGCGCGGAGTCCTATCGTGCACCGGTGCCAACCTTAATCAAAGCAAGTGACGTCCGTGTTGCTTTCCTTTCAATAAAGAAAGGAAAATCATCGGGACACGACGGTCTCAGCGTTGAGCACTTAAGATATGCAGGCTCCCATGTGCCCAGGATACTTGTATTGCTCATATTTGCCATTCGACTTAATGAGTACGACTGTGGTGCCAAATAGCTAAGAACAGGACGAGTGACGTGTCTGACAGGTCTAACTATAGGCCAATCTCTCTTGCTACTATAGTGGCTAAGATATTTGACAGTGTTCTCAATTCACACGTAGAAAAACATATGCAACTGCACGAATCGCAGTTTAGTTTTCAGACAGGCTTATCCACTGAAAGTGCTATTGTGACTTTGAAGCATGTTGTCGGGTACTATAGGAATAACAAGACGTCAGTATACGCGTGTTTCTTGGACCTGTCCAGTGCCTTTGATTTGGTCTCCTACAACATCCTATGGGATAAACTCAGTGCCACGGGCATGCCTGTGGAGCTAACGAACGTTTTTAGGTATTGGTACCGGAATCGAACGAATGTTGTAAGGTGGGCGAACAAATTTTCGGAGCCGTATAACTTGGAATGCGGGGTTAGGCAGGGTGGATTAACATCTAGATTATTAAATTTGTACGTCAATACCATTGACTTACAATTATATGGACGTCGGGTCCGAGCTAAAAAATGTCCGAACTTATAGGACGTTAAAATCGTATACAGAGCGTCATTTACGCTTTAATCTTCGTTTGTTCGACTGACAGCGAAGCAAGCAAAATTAGACAGTACTGCGATGACATTACAATCTAAATTCAACGTTTTAGCTTGCCAATCATCAGTTCTCATATTGATGGAGCCATGAAAATAAAAAGTGAAGTGAAGCTTTTTCATATTCCTTTACATGTCACTACGTTTAAATAGGTTGACATGGGACATTTTTTTCGTGGTTTTTGTATTAGACCCGTCGTCCATTTATTTGTAAGTCAATGGTCAATACACTGATTGAACTGAGTGAACTCAGTAGCACGCATGTGGGTTGCTTTGTTGACGGAATTTGTTTAAACAACATTAGCTATGCTGATGACATGGTGCTGCTGGCGCCATCGATCAGTGCATTGAGAAAACTAATTGGAGTATGTGAGTCATAAGCAACATCCCATGGCTTGTTATATAATGTTAAAAAGTCGGAGTTTATAATCTTTGGAGCCGCCGGTAGGAAGAGTTCTACGTGTGCACTTCCTGTACTACTTAATGGTTCTCCATTAAAAAGGGTTAGCCACTTTAAATACTTGGGACACTATGTTAACGACGACCTCAATGATGACCTGGATATACAGCGCGAACGGAGATCACTATCGGTGAGAGCAAACATGCTTGCCTTGCTTCAGGACGCTGTTGGGGCTGTCACGTTTCTGCCTTGTTCACTGACGGGCGCGTAGATAGTTTCACGGCTGTTGTACGTAAAAAGTCGGCCTCGCTACTGAAGAGAATACGTGACAGCCCCAATAGCCTCCTGAAGACAGTTGCTGACAGGAATGAGTGCCCAATTATGCGCCACTTAATAAATAATACAAAGTCACTGGTAAAATATAAGCACTAACATAGTTATAAGTCTGTACCTACTAACATTTGATTGGATCCCAGTTGCCTCAATAAATAAATTTTATTATTATTATTATGACAATAATAATTGTCAAATAGTTTTTTGCCGTAACGCCAACTGTGAGAAACTTATGAAAGTTTCTTCACACAGCCAGAATATCATGGTAGCAAAAACATCATCATATTTAATAAAAATACGTATTGCAAAACGAAGTATATTTTTACTTACAATCATGAAATTTTTCTTCCAAGTACGTTACGGTAACGAAATGTAAAAATTATTTCAGAATTTCAAAGGAAGGTATTACCCTCTCTATGTGTATTTATTATATATTTGTCATTAAAGTTTAGGTAATATACTTTCCTTGTTCCCATCTCTATGAATGAATCATTTTAGTAACTTTTGTTAACTTGTGTTAAAGTAACTATAGTTACTGACATGTTGAATGCCCAATCCGAATTGCATTTCTCTGTTCTTTTGAGAAGACGCGGACCTAGTAGTAAGACCAAAATGTAACTCGTTCGTAATTGTGAAGCGACGTGGTTTGTGTAATAACTATGGCACATATTTTTAATTTATTTTTTTCTAATTTTAACGGACTTCTAAATCCAATTACAATAATTAGCAAGAACACACAAAAAATGTAATAAAAACGTAAAACGTGGTACAGACGGCAAACAAAAAATAAAAAAGGAAGAAGAAAACAATTATGAACGAATGGACTCGTATTAATTCTTCTCGCAAAGGATTATAAGATTACAAACATATCGCTGCTCTTCAAGAGTGGTGTCCCAAACCAAAATTGATAATTTATTGATTTATTACACGGCTGTATTCGGAATGTGCTATTTTTACTGTGAATAGCGCACCAACCTTTACATTGAATAAAATAATCACATAATAATATTGGGTCCGCATAATATGATTTGGATTTTCGCGTCAGACGCTCTTCGGTTTTTTAGGCTATATATAAAAAACGAACTAAAGTAAGTTGAACAGCGTCACTATTCACAAAAGACTCATCGTACGGAAAATGAAACCAAATGAGATTTATCAGCAGGACTTTTTACACATGAAGGAGATATCCATGCTCGGTGTGATTGAAGATGCAGCTTTAATGGAATATGTGATTGATGGTATACGGGACACAGAGACGAATTCTATACAGGGCGAATACAATGAAATAATTCCGGAGCAAGCTAGAACTATATGCTGAAATAAAAAAGTCATCACTGAACAATCCTCGTCAGTCACGGCATACCCCTTACCTAGTACATCTAGAGGACATACAAATATTCCCGTCAGTCGATGTTACAACTGTGGAGATACAAACCATCAGTCGGCTGCTCGTACAAAAGGTATAAAATGCTTCAAGTGCAATGACTATGGGCACAAATCCAATTAATTTTCGAACGATACTACGAAAACCCTAAAGATTAAAGAAACCGGAAGTAAATGCTGTTTTACCTCTTACAAAGAAGGTAAGATTAACAACGTTCGAGTTAAAGCTTTAGTAGATACTTGAAGTGACGTGAATTTGGTCAACGAAACTTATTTTACCAAAATTGCGGAAGAAAAAAAAGATTACCATCCTAAGTCTATATTACGCCGTACTGGCATAAACGAACATAAAGTCCCATTTACGGCTGAAATGCAAATAGATGAGAGTTATTTTGACGCCAAATTTTATGTTGTTGATGATATGGCAATACTATTATATACTACTGTGTGATAATCGGCAACCCAATACTGAGGGAAGTTGAAGTAAGTTTTTCTGCAGAAGGCATTTGTGCAAAGAAGATATTGCATCTTAGGACGATCGAAGTTCAAGATGAAAAGACTTACGACGTTGGTGACGTAAGATTCATAGATAGATTAAGACGATGATTGAAGACTATAAACCTAAGAATGTAAAGAAGGAATCGAACGCTGAATTGAAGATTACCCACGCAGATGAAGCTCCGATTTACCAAAACCCTCGAAGATTTTCACCGTTAGAATTGAACGTTGTCACTAAGCAGATAAATGAATGTTTAGATCAAGGAATTACCAAAACAATGACGTTACAGGAAAAATACTTACCTCCGAAAGTTCCGGCCCCGCTACTAGAAGAATATGATTATACAGCCAAACACCGACCTGAAACCAGACTCAAACATGCAGACGCTCTCAGCAGAGAACCTGTAACAAATGTTAACGTACTTACCGATATCGCTGCACGCCTAGGAAAGGCACAAGATGAAGACCTGAAATTAAAGTTGCTGAAAAATGTTTTAGAGAGTGAATCATTTGAAGATTATGTACTAGAAAATCGTATACTGTGGAAGGTGAAGGACAGTGCTAAACTAATAATGGTGGTACCTAAAACAATGCGAGATAAGAATTATGATATTTTAGAATTAATTGTAGATAAGAATGTTTAAAATTATACTAAACAAAAAGAAGAGCTCAGGAGAAAAGCTAAGGAAAGTACCAGTATTGTACAAGTACAGTACAATATCCAAGAAGAAAACAGGAAGATTTATATCAGAAAACGAAAAAAAAGCGATTCAGTGTAGAGTTGGAAAGTTGTGATTATTAAACTAACCCAGTTTGTTCAAGGCTATAAACTACATCCTAAATTTCACGGTCCTTATGAAGTCAATTGTAAGAAACGAAATGATCGATATGATGTGACGAAGGTTGGCCAAGGTGAAGGCCCGGCCAGCACATTTAGCTCTGCTGACATGGTGAAACCATGGGTTTCCACTACTTCAACCGAAGCTTCATCTGGAACATTTGAATAGCAGGAATGGGCCTGTGGGATTAGTTGTATTTTTCTTATTTAAATGTAAAGTAGTTGTCAGATTTGTGTTACGTTGTTTGTGTCGTACAAATTAAAAAATAATAATAAGAAAATAGATTTATTTATCATCTGCAATCCCTCTCTGCAATCTGAGGGATTGCAGATATATATATATATATGGGTCATTCTTTTTTTCTATCGACAATCTAATACTACACACATCAAAAGTGTCTAGGGATCAAGTACGTTTAAGAGTATTGCTGCAATTAGGGTTAATTATATTAACTTTTTTGTATCGCTATTGATACTTTTTAGCGAGTTTTAACATTTAAATAAGGAATATTGTTTAAAATTCGATAATAAGAAGAAAATCGATTGTCAATGTGGTTTTGTATAAAAATGAGTTATAGCGTTTTGACAAAATCATTACAATATCTGCATCGGAACCGAAACAATTTACATTATTATGGAGAGACGACATCATTTAACCCGAGAAGTGATGATGCGAGCCGTCGGAATGTTGGAAGCTGGTTCCAGGCAACGTGCTGTGGCTTTCACTCTTAACACTACACAGAGCGTCATAAGTCGCCTCTGGACGCGCTATCGCATGACGGGCAGCGTGGCCGAGCGACATGGAGGACGATCTC